GCCACCCTTTAGCACAGTAGGTGCACACAACACAGCAGCCCCTGACTGTTGGCTGCAGGAGGGCAGGAAGCATTGCTGTCTGTTCCTGCTGAATCCTCAGAACATCACCTGGTAGGAACCAGAAGGAGGAGCTGGGTAAAGTTTGAATGATGATCTAAGGGAGTGAACGCATGAATGGATGATCCACCCGCACCCCCCCCCCCCCAGTTAACCGTGCCGGTGTGTGTGCAAGGTTATTTTTGCTGGGCGGCTTCTCTAATCTGACCCAAGCTGATGTGTGCGTGGAGTGAGTGTCCCAGCGTAACCATAACTGATGTCTAATCCCCTGATTAAAGAAGCTCTTCCAGACTTCCTAGCAATCGGATTACAACATAGCAGGCCTGATAAGGTCACTTCCACTGTTCTGCCTTTTTCCAGCCCACAAATTGGCTCCCTGATATTCATTATGGCAATTTTTAGAGCTTGCTATTTCCCCCAAACCTGTGTGAGAGAAGTCAGCTTCTATTCCATCTGTCTTCATATGAGATGCGATGAGTGTGTGTAGTGGGTTAGGAATGTGGGTGGTTAACAGCACAGACTTTGGGGGAACCACCTCATAGCCCAGGCACTGTTTCCTCATGTGTCAAGTGGGGGTAATCATAATATTGGTGTAAAGTGGGGGTAATCATAATATCGGTGTAAAGTGGGGGTAATCATGATATCGGCTTCACAGGATGGTTGTGAGGGTTAAAGGAATAGATGCCTGTAAAATGCTTAGCTCTCTGCAAGCACTCAGTACATTTCTCTTTACGCTACTGATGAGAGAGACTGGGACAGGCACCACTGGCTCCCAGCTGGACCGTGGACAGGACAGCGACCTTCTCTGGCCCTTGAGTGTCCTAGGTATTACACAGAGGGAGAGAGAGGGAACTAAGGACTCGTTCAACAAATAATTACTGAACACACTCTGTGGTCGTCCTGAGACTGAACACCAGACATGGAGATAAAGTGGCTCTGGCCTGTCCTCGAGGGTCTCCTGTGTGGCCAGAGATTTAACCACGATGCCAAGCATTGTGGAGCACCTGGTACATGCCAGGCTGAGTGATAAGTACTTTGCATACACAAGATCCATCGATATTCATAATAATGCTGTTGACCATGCCACTGTGCCCATTTTATAGGTAAGGGCACTCTGGTGCAAAAGCCCTCCGTGACTTACCCAAGGTCGCATGGGTAGCGAGTATCAAAGATGGAATTTGAACCTGGAGTACGACTCCGAGCTCTAACACCCCTCTGGCACAAACATCCTGTGATTCCCCATGACCAGAGACAGACTCGAGATTACACCTGTATCTCCCTCCTCCTGAAGCTTTTGTGCTTTCTCTTTTCTCACATCTCTCTTATCTCCCCGCACTTTCATCAATATTCTCTGCATTATCTACCAAGCACACAGGAGAACATCTCCATTTTCTTTGCTGATATCATCCCCACTGACACTGCAGGGAAGAGACAAGCTGTGGTCCTGGAGCAGAAGTAAGAACTCCAGTTGCTCACCTGCTTCTCTGGGAGCCTCTAGGGAATGTCAGCTTCCCAACCAGGAATCATTACTGGGTGGCTCCCTTTTAATCTCAGACATTCCCAGCCCAACTTCTGAGGAAATGTGGTCTTCATAGCATTTCCTTTGGGACCTTTCAGCATCAGTGAACCAAATATTTGGGAGGCTGCACAGCACAGAGGCTAAGTAAGAACTCTGGAGCCAGACTGCCAGGGTTCAAATCCTAACTCTTTGATTAACTATCTCTGGAACCTTGGGAATAGTTATGTTCTCATGTCTCTGTTTCCCGGCTATTTTTCCAAGATGATGATGGTGATGATGATGGAGGTGGTGGTGGTATTTCTCTTCACAGAATAGATGGGAGGATCAGATACAAGGGAGTTAAAATACAAGGGTTTAAAAACAATGTCTGGCACTGAATGAACTTTTTCTATATGTCCGTGAGAAATACATGTCCAGTTAAACTAATGTCTACTGCCTTTTAAGGCTATTGTCCAGTAGACAAGAAGGAAGAGGAGAAGCTCCAAATGACTATGGAATAGAAAAAGCCCTTTACAAAAAGCTTTTTTTTTAAAAAGCTTTTTATTGCCATAAAAGAAATAAAAGAATCAACTTTACAACACAGGACGTGGTGCTTTGCTGCCTCTGGGAAGTCAGGAGGTTTAGAAAATCCACTTGACAGCTGAGAAGGGAAGCCAATTGGTGAGGGTCCTTCAACTAGATAAGGGAGGTCGGGAGTAGATTAGTGGCTTTCTGCACACTATCCAGACTGCAACAAGATACGTTGATTCCAGATGAAAACAAGCACATCATAAACCAGCCACCACCAAAAATCTACCAAAAATCCAGTTCAACACAGAGCACTTCTTAGTTGAGTACAATTCACTCTTCTTTCTGTCTTTTCAACTGTTCCCGGGTGTTCAGGATTTTTCAGGAACATCCATCGAAGAAGGGCTTGATTTGCCAGAGTTGAGGAATGATAATGAACTATGAAAAGTGGCTTTGGTGAAGACAGGGCAGGGAAGCCTGCAGCATAATAATATTTTCGTTCTGAAGAGGGCAGTATGCAACCAAGGCCAGGTCTGCTCTCTCTCTCTGGGCCTGAAGGAGGCAGCGCAGCCCTCAGGAACCCAGACATCTTGGATTTCCAAGACCTTATTTCTGAACAGCAAGCACATCTTCAGACATGAACTAGGATTCTTGAGGTTTGAACAGTTACACTCTGCCGCTCATCTAGGGGACATGCTGCAAACCAATAGAAAGATGGTCATGCAAGATGGATGGAAGAAATGCCAAGAGTCCTTTCACCATGCTCTTAAATTTGTCTACCCTCCCAAATTGGGCCTCTATGAAATTAAACAATAGCAAGGCATCCTAGATGGTCTCTGATGTTTGCAGAGGAAAGCTTTTTTCTCCTAAGACTTGTGTGCAAGGTAGTTTCTATGGCCTAAAGCAAAATACCTTCTTGCAAACATTTTTTTTTTTTTTTGCATAGAAATAAAATGTTGGGAATGGGGATGCTAGCTCCTGGGATGCATTTATCAAGCCAATCACAGTAATTATAATCAGAACACAAACTAAGTGAAAGCTGAGCATGAAAATACATTTGCAGTAAACCTGAACTGCATACAATTAAGCCCTGCTGGGTGGCATTTTGAAGTATGCCATTAATATATTTTGGGGGTGAGCAGATTGATTTTTTTTCTTAAATATCTTTTGCTGCTTGCATCAAAGGCTCCAACAGCAGTTAAGAAGGAGGAAGAAGGCCACACATTATTAACTGCTAAACTTAGGGCTCTAAGACAGATGTCCAGAGGTAGCTTAATTGGCTAACACACCTCGTCAAATATGTTCACTGGACATTAATTTAACGTAGGTCTGGCTTAGGAAAGTGAGGAAGAGAATTGAGGATTTAGGGGGAATAATATACCGTCAATTCTTGGTCTCAGTTTTTGGAAAGTGCTAAGCTAACAGTGTTTAAAATCCTTTCATGATCTCCCCATTGTGTTAAAAGAAAGTCCTGTCCCCTTAGGGGCTTCCTGATTCAGATGTCACCTCTTTGACTGTGAAGTCCTTACCATTTTCTGCTCCCCTAAACCTGGGCTCTCTCAGGCATTATAACACTTAGCATACTGGTTTTTAACTTTATTTATTTATGTGCATGGCTGTTCTCCCCTGCTAGACTGTGACCTCCTTGGGGTCAGAGATTACATCTTTTTAATCGGGGTCTCCAGCACGCGGAGCACATGACCCAGTATAGAAGCTCCTCCATGGTTGGAAAATGTTGCATGAAGAGCAATTAAATAAGTGAAAGAATGAGTGGAAGAATGAGGGCTGCATCCTTCGGGGTCCCGCTCTAACCAACTTTTTCCAAAGACACCCCATCTCTCGCTTCCCCAGACAGAAGTCAGATGGTTCTGCAATGGCAATTCCAGAATATTTTAAGGGAAACTATAGCTTTCTATAGGAGACTTAAGTGAGGCACTTTGGGTTGGAGAGGTGTGTGAGGTGTGTGTGTATAGGGGGGGTACTACTGGCTCCTTTGAAAGTCACCCTTGAGTAAAAGCACAGGCCCTCACTGAGATTGTATTTAGGGGAGAGAGATGGGAGGCAAGACACTATGTGCCACACCTTGGAGTATCTTCCCATGATGTGTTGGGATGGGAAGGCGCAGAATATTTATCTCCACCCCATTTCCTATATATTTTTTTAAATTTCGAGATAATTGTAGATTTACATGTGGTTGTAAGAAATAATACGTAGACATTGCATTACCCTTCACCCAGTTTCCCCCAGTGTTATAAGATCACAACCAACCTGAACAATGACTTTGATACAATCCTTCCACCTTATTCAGATTTCATCAGCTTTATATGCATGCATTTCCGTGTGTGTGCACGCGTCTGCATTGTGCACACTTGATGTTTCTGAAAACGGTTTTCTGGCCTACGGGAGGCTAGAAAAGGGTCCAGTCTGATGCATCCTTGCAGAGGAGTTGGCTCCCACAGGCACCAGTATATACTAGTATACATCTTTTGAATACAGTAGGTATCCAACAACCGTCCCCATAAACACTTGAACTTGCATGTCAGTGCGTGCAAGAGGAGAGCGCATGTTTAAGGTAGGAAACTGAGACGGAGACATTCGATATTTTAGAAGCAAAAAGTTGGCTATTTTCCGCCACAATTGTTAATTTAGCTACCTGGCTAATTGCTTCACAGAGATCCTGATGCACATGCTTCCATCGCGGAAGAGACGTTTTTGAGGTTCACTCTCCGCTGGAAAATTGAAGAGGGTTCACAGTACCCCGGGAGCTCCTCCCAACCCTACTCCCACTTTCACCCCTTTTTCCCTGGGGCTGGACTGTTTCACCCCGTCTCCAGGCAACCGCCCAGCGCGAGGTGGGACGTCATTTCCTGAAAAGCCCGCGGGGAAGGGGGGTAAAGGGGAGGGGTAAGGGGGCGGGGCCAAAGCTGGGGAGGCGAAGGCGACGGCGTCGGAACTCGCTTGAGGATCGGCCCCCAGGAGGCTCAACAGTTCGCAAAGTGTGGGCTCGCGGCCCCAAGGCTACGTCTGTGCCCGGAAGGTGCAGGAGCGCAGGGGTCCCCGGGCTGCTGCATCCCGGGACTGCCCTGGACATGCCCCGCACCCCCTGCTGGACGCCCGCGGTGCTCCACCGGCTGCGGTTTGGGGGGCTCTGTGACTAGAGCGCCCCCATCCCAACTTATGATTTTGGGGTCCCCCAGCCCTAGAGGAACGGGCGGCTTGGCTGGGGGAGCCCCGGGCGCGGTGTGACGGGGCGGTCAGCTGTGCTGCGCCCCCCACTCCAGCCACCCGTCGTCTCTATGCCCTGAAGAATGTAACTGCTTTCTCTGCGACCTCCCGGCTCCAGCCACCAACTCCTTGTCATCCAGGATCCCATCGCCGTCTCCGCCCTGCCCGGACTCAAGCCGCCGTCTCTGCGCCTCGCGGACTCCAGTTTCACGACCCCCTCCATCTTCGCGCGCCCGAGAGTCTAGCAGCGATCTCTGCGATACCCCAGGACTCAGACACTGTTTCCGCACCCCCAAACCCGAACTCCAGAGGCCGTCTTCTTGCCCCCCGCCCCGCCCCCAAACCTAGACTCCAGCCACGATCTCCGCGCTCCGCGGATCCAGCTGTCGCGCCGGTGCCCGCTGGTGCTGCAGCTGCCCCACCGAGCGCCCCAAGTCCGCCCGACCCTCGGCGGGGAGATGAACGCGCAGCTGGACGGCCTGTCGGTGAGCTCGTCCTCCACCGGCTCTCTGGGTTCGGCGGCCGGGGCGGGCGGCGGAGGGAACACGGGGCTGCGACTACTGTCTGCAAACGTGCGCCAGCTGCACCAGGCGCTGACCGCGCTGCTGAGCGAGCCGGAGCGGGAGCAGTTCACTCATTGCCTGAACGCGTACCACGCGCGCCGCAACGTCTTCGACCTGGTGAGCACCCTGCGCGTGCTGCTGGACAGCCCGGTCAAGCGGCGCCTGCTGCCCATGCTGCGTCTGGTCATCCCGCGCTCGGACCAGCTGCTCTTCGACCAGTACACCGCCGAGGGCCTCTACCTGCCCGCCACCGCCCCCTACAGGCAGCCCTCCTGGGGCGGCCCCGACAGCGCGGGGCCCGGGGAGGTGCGCCTGGTTAGCCTGAGGCGTGCCAAGGCACACGAGGGCTTGGGCTTCAGCATCCGCGGGGGCTCGGAGCATGGCGTGGGCATCTATGTATCCCTGGTGGAGCCAGGCTCTCTGGCTGAGAAGGAAGGGCTGCGAGTCGGGGACCAGATTCTGCGTGTCAACGACAAATCCCTGTCCCGGGTGACCCACGCTGAGGCCGTCAAGGTAGGGTCTGGTTTGGGGGATGAGTTCGGGTCAGAGTGGCGAAACAATTTATGGTGGCAGTAGCTCCATTCTGTGTATCCTTACGCAAATCACTTGACCTTTCCGGGCTCCATTTTTCTTACAAATGTTTCTTTAAAAGAGGAACATTTAGTCTATTGAGCAAATAGATGTGATACCCCCCAACGGGATATTGTGATGGGCCCTGCCTTCCTTGGTCATAAAGGCTCGTGTGTGGGAGACAGACCTTAGCAAATACTCAGCAAATGTGTGATCACAAAGTGTGAAAAAGGTTGTGGATTCTTATGAGCATTAAAAGAGGTAAAGTCTCTGCTGGCATATGGTTAGCAATCAGCAGGTGCCTTCTGCTTCTGCTGTTACTCTTATTCTGGAGGCTTTTGCCCCTGAAGGAAAGTTTTGTTAGCTCCTAGTGGCCCGAGGAGGCCGTTTCTGGTAATCTGCGGAGCTCTGCCTAACCCTACTGCTTATGGAACAGGCTGTACAAACCCAGGGTGAGTAATTTGTCCTCTCTGAACCTCTAGTTCTCCACTTGGGAAATGGGGCACCAGGACCCAATAAGATTCCCTAACCTTGTTGGAAATGAGGCTTCTCCCTGAATGTCAAAAGCAAATGCCCCTCCTCACGGGACAGTAGTTGTACTTTTTGTGTCACTTGAGAAAGATAACCTTATGACAGCAAGCTGCTAGGAATTTAACCATGCTGTTTAAAGGAATGCCTGTGTTTGCTAATCTCATGCCAAGGGCTTTTGAAAACCAGCTGGAGGATGAGATGAGTAGTGTTGGTCTCTGTGTGGAGTCAAAGATCCTTTGCAGTCATCCACACACACCCCCTTTTTGTGCAAGAAGTGAAGAGTTTGGGGGGAAAGGAGCAAAATGAGATTCTGCTTCTGCAGGGAAAATGCTTCCTAGGGGTTTGGTCTGGCCTGTGACCCAGTTTCTCATCACCCTGCCCCTTGACCCTGCCTCTGGTCCTCCTCAGTGCACGTGTTTTGAACTCCAACCCAGGGCCTGCTGGCTGCTGGGAAACCGTTAGGCAGCCGAGGTCCAGGGCTACTTCCTGTGTGTCCTGCAGTGACCTGTGGCCAGGTTCATCTTGAGCCCACTTCCTGACTATTCACCTGGGACGTGACCATCTGATCTCTGACCTTGGCTTCCCTTATTTCCTCCCCAACCCATCTGCCTTGACGGGAGGCCCCTGAGGATTTTGGAAACTTACTTATTTGTTGCTTCTGGCAGAAGGCTGATCAGTTTATATTGTTGGGGGTATGGGTGCAGTGGACAAAGCTCTTTGTGGATTCCTGTGCACCTATTCCCACTCTCGGCTTCCTCCCCCCACGTTAATCTTTTTCCTTTAGCTGACATTCCATATATGTGTAAAGAGATAATCCATTAGCCTTTGGCCGAAACAGGTCTGGAGTTCCCAGATGATAAATTTATACTCGAAAGATACTTGGCCCAAACGGTCACTTAGAAACATGGATTCCATTTCAGTGGCAGTTAAAAAAGACGTGGGTAACTTAATTATCACAAGGCGATAGACTTTGAGAAGGCCTCAGGTAACTCGGACATTAAGAACACAGACCCTCCCTTTAATTCACACCCGAGCTCAGCCATGCCTATAAGGCTGGGGCTGCTTGGCTGAGAGTTTCAGTTCCGGCCCCTTACATTTCAGCGGTTCCCTTGGCTGCGCACCTTCTGTGTGAACCTCCGGAACTACACCAAGGTGCTGTTGCTCTGACTCACAGGAGCACCAGGCCTTACCTTTGTTTATTTGTTTACTCTTGTTGCTTCCAGAGTAAAACCTAAACTCTCCATGGCATTGTTTTTGAAGCCTCAGACCGAATCCTTGCCAGAGGGAAAGGTTGATAGGGGCAGAACTGACTTTGGGTGGGGCCCCGCCTGTGTGAGCTGAGCAGCCCCCGGGTCCCTGTCACTTTTCCTACGGAGGCACCGCTAAGGCAGACTGAGCTGTCTCAGGAGTGCTCGTCTTCCTGCCAGTGCAGACACATAACCTGCCCGGAGGGGGCCCATCTGGACCCTCCAGAAGCAACAGGCAAAATGAGTACGGCTTTGTGTCACCTTAACTCCAGGGAGAAAGGGGGACAGACTTTCCGTGGGTGGAATTTAAAACGGAGGAGGCGGGACCTGTCTCCTGTGGCCTCCCAGAGAGCCTCCGCCTTGAGGTTACGGGTTGGGCAGGCAGTTTCAGGGACTGTTTAGAAGAACACCTGGAGCTGTTGACACGTTTCCACAAAATTAAGGGTATTCAGTCCCCCGATGGAAAGCCAAAAGAAGCCTGGCTTCTCCTCTAGGTACAGACTACCCTTCACCAGGATTTCCACTCCCAGCCCCTCTTTAAGCTAGAGCGTTGGGGCCCCTTGTCAGGGGTTTCATGGTGGAGGTGCATTCCTGATAATGAACTTCAGGCGTCACTCAGATGTCACCGGTGTTTCTGCTTGTATCTTTCTTTATGCTCCAGGACACCACACTGCATTTAGTAGATGTGTTTTCCTCTTCTTCAATTTTATTCTATTTGTTTATAGCTGTCCTTCTGTATCTATGGGGGATTGGGTCTAGGACCTTTCCACAGATACCAGAATCTGAGGATGCCCAACTCCCTTAGTCGATTAAAGAAAAAATTTTTTAATTTAAGTATCATTGGTATACAATATTATATTAAATTAGTTTCATATGTACAATATAGACCTTTGGTATTTTTATAACCTTACAGTGTGATCACTCCACTAATTCTAGCAATCACCTAGCAAATGTATTGCAGTATTATTGCCTGTATCCCCCCTCACCTTTTTCATCTACCCTCCATCCCTCCCCCTCCGGTAACCATCCCTTTGGTCTGTGTTTCTGTAAGTCTGTTTTCTTATCTTCCGCTTCTGCATCTGAGGATAGGGAGGGCTGACTGCTTGTTTGTTTGTTTGTTTACTAATTTTGCTTCCTCCTCCAGCCTTATTGGGCATACCTGAAAAATAAAAACTGTGTATATTTAAGGCATACACCGTGATGATTTGATATACCTATACAGTGTAAAATGATCACCATAATCAAGCTGATGAACATATCCATCACTTTACAGTTACTTTTGTGCTGAGAACATTTAAGATGTACTCTGAGCAAATTTCCAAGTATACAATGTGAAATTGTTCACTATTGCATTAGTTAACTGTGAGTTAGAACTTACTTATTTTATAACCGAAGGTTTGTGTCCTTCGGCCAGCAACTCCTCAATTCTCCCACCTCCTGGCTCCTGGCAACCTCTGCCCTATCCTCTACTCCCGTGATTCAGCTTTTTTAAATGCCACATGTAAGTGAGATTACACAATGTTTGTTTTTCTGTATCTGGCTGATCTAACTTAGCATAATGCACTCTAGGTTCATCCATGTTGTCACAAAAATACAGAATTTTCTTTTTTGTGGCTGAATAATATTCCATTACACACACACACACACACACACACACACACCACAGTTACTTTGTCCATTCATCTGTCAGTAGACACCTAGGCTGTTTCCATGTTTTAGCTGTCAAGCTTAGCTCTTAAGGAGATATGTTTTTCATCTTAAAATCTTTATTTTCTTCTGCGGGTAGGAAGAAGCAGGGGATGGGGAGACCCTCTGAGCTTCCCAAAGGAGAGATTAATTGTGTCTGTGTAATAAAAAGAAAATTAAATTGTAGGAATCAAGTTACTTAAGAGTTTATGAGTCAGAGAGAGTCACCTCGTCCCAGTGAACAGAAGAGGTGGAACGAAGTGTTTTCTGCTGGTCTCTCTGACAAGTTGAACGTCCGTCGTTAGCCAGGCCAGTTCAGGGAAGATGTATCCTGTTTCAGGGGGGCTCCCATCCCTCTCTCGGAGCCTGTTTGCTAAACCAGCAGCGACAGGTCCAGATAACGCAAGCCAGTTGCTATTTGCGATTACATTGAAATTTTTGATTTTGGGGAAAAAAATCTATCTTGAATGAACAGGAGCCAAACTAATAATAATAAAATAGGAGACCTTTCAAAGGTTTTCTGCCAAAAATGCTTGACAAATTGGCCAAGTGGTCCAGGGACCAGGGATGTTTCATTGGGCTCTGCTGCAAACCTACTGTGTGACCTTGGGCCAGTCACTGACCCTCTCTGTGGCCAGGGTGGGTGGGCCAGGGGCTGCCCAAGGCCCCTCTCAGCTCAGACAATCGGTGATCTGCTCCAATCTGCTCCATAAGTGCTGCATAGAAGGCATTTAGAATATCTAATGCAATGTTTTCTTGTTCTTTTGGAATTGCTTTTGTTCCAGGCAGAGTAAAGAAGGTTGGCTAAGGCTTGGGGGATGAGAATCTTGGCACTCCATGTAGCCTCCTACTAAATCAGGAAATTGATGGGTCACACACTGTACCCATGAGAACTGGCCTGCTGCCCCTCGACCCAAGAGCACCAACCCTCGTGCCACTCCAGGGTAAATGAGAAAATGACAGTAGGGTCATGGCGTGCACCGCGCTAAGAGCACTCAAATCCAAATTCACTTTCCCACTTGCTTTCTGAGTCCCTGATTCTGCAGGTAGCAGGTACTGCTGGGAGGTATGTATATTTGAGCGTTTCATCTCGATAAAAATTAAATGGCTTCATGATGGTCTCTGCCTCCCCCTGGGTACATCCAAGGAACATTTTAGGATTTGAAACACGCCAGCTGTTAAAAACAGTGGCCAGCCCTTTCACTTGGCATTGTCAAATCCTCCTTCGTTTTGTACAATAACATGGAAAGAACCTGTCCATATTAATATGCTGTTGTAGTTGGTCTGGTATGTCCTAAATGACACATTTGTCATTTCTCCATGGCACGTGGTTAGCTGAAGCCATTACAAATTATTAACCGGTTCCAACTTTGTATCTGAAATGCAGCCCCCCCACCCCCTCCCTCGGTGCCATTCCTGTATTCCGGCTCGGAAACCGTGGGTAATGCGCTCACGAGTATGCATGGACTTTCCTCTGGC